CAGCAGCTGACTTGGGGACGCTTGGGGTTCTTAAGTTGAATCTGTATGTAAGTCAGAACTGGTGGTCAGTTTCAGCAGCGGCTGAATCTGGATGCCAGTTCCGACTTACATACAGATTCAACTTAAGAACAAACCTACAGTCCCTATCTTGTACGTAACCCGGGGACTGCCTGTAGTTGGGTCACGGCTTGGGGCGAGCCAGGGGTGCCTTCCCCCTGAGATAGGGGGGTTGGCAAGTGTAGCAAACAGGGAATTTTATTAAAATTTTTGTTTTTCATATTTTAGTTTGTACAACCTGCATCACTCTAGTAAAACACTGTTTTAGTATACCTTTAAATAAGATGGTTACCTACCTTTTGTAACTATTGTTTTTTGAGAGATGTTACTCATGTCCATTCCAATAAGTGTGTGTATGTGCGCGCACGCACTGCATTCATGATCATCGGAAAGTTTTCCCTAGCAGTACCCAGCAGGTAAGCTATAGACACCTGGGCAAATGGGACTTTTATTGGTCTGGTGCCTTTCCCCCAAACACTATAAAGAGGCTTAGTCTTCCCACAACTTGTGCAGAATTTAACCCCCTGAGATCACAGCATGCGTTCTAAAGAAAAAAACCTAAACTTAACAGTAACTCTTAACTCAATACTACTACTAACACTGAAGTAACAAGAACTGTCAATAGAATGGTCACTAAGGAAATAAAGAACTATGATTTATTCTTGCAAAGCAAGAGCAGACAGCACCAATGACCCTCACTGGCAGTACAAAGGAAGTGAGCAAGTGGCAGGTTGGAAACAGCATACGCGCACTACCATACTGGTGCCACTTCAGGTGCCTTCACAGCTGACCTGTCGGCTACCTCTACGGAAAACTTTCTAAAGATCGTGCACGTGGTGCATGCACACACGCATGCATGCACACCTCTCTATTGTGACCCATGGACCTTATTCTTGAATAAGAATAAATCTTTTGTCTCATTCTCCCTCACAGAACTTCCAAGGCTTTTGAAAAGAACTTCTGAGAGACAAGAATATTTGCTAGCCCTTTGCTACATATAAATCTTATACAGCATGGGTTACACCACACTAGAATGTTATGCCCAGTTTTAGACTTTAGGTTTCATAAAACAGACAAAAGAATAATTCAAATTCTGGAAAAATCTGCTTTTTAAGATGATCTAAAACACATTTGCTACTTAATGTATATCTAAGAGAAAAGTTATGCAGTGACTTGATCATTGTTTCTCTATAACAATCTATGAAGGGAGAAGATTTCTGATATGGGCTCTTTAACCCAGTACGTAAATATATAAATTCTATTCTATATAGGTCTTATGCTGTACTCATCACCATTGCATCTGAGCACCTTTTAGTAGTTCAATGAGCTACATAAAAAGATGCAATATCTGGAAGTTGAAGCTAGATGTTATGGGCCTGATACATTAATTACTGAATGACAAATGATCGTAAATAGTCCCTTTTTGTTTTAAAAGCTATGAATCTGTGAAATCACTAGTTATTTTTGAAAATTAGGCCTCTCAGTTAAAAAGAGCATATACTATGTGTCCTGCCATTCATATAAAACATGGCCTTAAAATAATTAATCTGAAAAACCAAACAAACAAAAAAACCAAACAAACTACAGACTGCATAAATTAGCAGAAGATTAAATTTATTTGGCCTTGATGAATTTGTACATACTGAAGTAATAAACAAAACTTATTTGTGAGAAATAAATCAGCATACTAATTTATTTAAATCCATTTAACATGCACAATGCCCATGACAAAGACTGTTATATTTCTAGTGCTGAAAGTTTTTAAAGTTGCAGCTAGGTTGCCAGGTATTGAACTAGACAGTTCTGTATTTTTGCCTCCTGTCCGGTAAAAAAATTCAGAAAGTACTGGACACCTAAAATGTCCGGTACTTTCTGATTTTTTCCCAGGCAGGAGGCAAAAATCCCAGGCTGTCCAGCTCAATACAGAGGTAGCCTGGCAACCCTAGTGCTTACCGGGTTCTGCAGGGGAGCTGTCTGACCCGGCCCAGGGAGGTAAGATAGTGGTTTTTAAAGTTGTTTTTTTGCTTAACAACTCTCAGGAGTCTTTTTTTTTCCGCTCAACAAACTTTTTCTTGGTGTGGTTTTGTTGTTGTTGTTGGGTATTTTTTCTGAAACCATCTGGCAACCCTAGGGCTTGGATGTTTAGTATTTTCACAATTCCCTAAATTCTTTCAAATGTTGTCATCTCTCTGTGGTCACAGATCATGGATCAGATTTTGGGATCCATCCAAATAAACAGAGGAAAGGTTGGAGGAACACAACCAAGTTGCTATAAAGCTCAGGACATTTTCCCGATCCTTAGCTATGGGTGTGTATAGGACTGGCTCTTCAGCATAAAGTAGAAATGCCTCAGTTCATGCATCAAGAGTATGGTGTTTGGTTACACTTGTGCAGTCCTAATGTAGGCAGCTGGAAGTCAGTTACTAGTCTGTTGATGAATTAATGAATCAGTATAGAATCCAGCTTGTCATCCCAGGACTATACTGTCCTCTGCAGTTCTAACAAGATTAGTAAAACATATCATTATTAATACTTTTTAATTAGGGTGAATCCTGATACTTCTTCATTTGCTCAATCCTGTGAGGGGTTGAGTGTGTGTAAAGAACTGTCTTTCATTGTTGAAAAGCAGGCTAAGAACAGTTTGTCCATTATGCAGTTGTCAAGTCCAGCTAATTTAGAGAGCACCATTTAATTGTTTTAGGACAACTCTTTTCATGGGAGATCCAAATTATGAGGGAACTGCCTGAAGCTCTTCAGAAGACTATAGGACTGGGCCAGTAGTTAGGCGTTCTCTGGTTAAAAAAAATGAAAATGTCTCAGCATTTCTTTTATGTATCTATTACAAAATCACACTGTTCAGCCACTGTGTAAATAGGCTATTTTACACAGTACTATTTAAATGAACTCAGCCACTCTTAGCAGAGCATGAAGGGATCTTATGATGAACATATCTAATGTACATAAGAGAGGTAGCTAGGTCATATCTGGTGTAGAACTTAATAACACAGTGTCAGGAGTAAATTAAGAACAGAAACGAAGGAAAACGGCAACGAAATTGCAAATAAAAGGAACAATGGTTGCAGGATCTCAATAACATGCCACACTTCAATGCCCCAAGGACTTCAGCTTTGCCAAATCTTCAAAACAAGGAGTTTGGAAACAATATTTTGCAAGATTTCTCATTGCTGTGATGCTCAACAAGGCAACTGATGATAGATTAATCTTCTTTAATTTATGTTATGGAGACATATGCAGATCATGTCTTTAAATCCCTTGATTTTACTAGTATCAGTCACAAAGATGGCTTTGAAAGGGTTTTGGCTATTTATATCTCAGAGAAATATGGTTTATGAAAGAGCATGTTTTTACAAAAGAATTCAAGAACAGGGGAAAATGCTCAATGTTATATAAAAGCTCTGCACACAATAACCAAAAACTGATTTTGGGAATGCAAAACATGAAAATATCAGTGATAGGCTGGTTATTGGGTTAACAGATAAAAGCCTTTTCATAGCAGTGACAACCGGAGAGAGATTTTTACTCTTGCCATAGCTATACAGATAGCAAAGGTGCTGGAATTATTCAAAGCACAGAACAAAAGATGGGAGCAATTTACAAAATCTGCAGCTATCTTAGAAGCTATTAACAGACACTTGAGCATTAAGTCATTATCATTAGTATCTCTAAGGGAAGGAGCTAGAACTTTGCAGGCTAAGAGTGACAAACTCCAGCTTACATGCACAAGCTGTGGAAAAAGTCACATCCATACATATGATGTACGTCCAGCTAGAGGTGCATGGTGTCATAAATGCATGAAATATGGATATTTTTCAGCTGCTTTCCACACAAAAGCAATCAGAGAGTTGACTAATATTACAAACAATCCAGAACCACTGTCCCCCAATCTGTCATTTGAAATAACAGAGCTTGACTAAAGAGTGAAACTGAATATTTGTGGCAAGACAGCTGACTTTTAAGATCGACTCAGGAGTTGACATCACAATCCTATCAGAAGGAATTTAACCACTCCCATAGCTAAAGTCATCTGATCCAGCTCTGATTAATACCTTGGAGTTATTCTGAACGGCACATGCCAGTTCATCACAGAAACAACTTACATTATATCAATTTGTTCAGTGTGTAACTCACAAACCAACCTGTCAATCATATAAATGTGATTAAAAACTCTCATGCAAAAAATATTTCTAAAACTCTAAGCAATGTGATAGAAAAGTTGTATTTTAATATCAAGTCTTCCTAAAGTAATTTTGTATTTTTACCATTTATAAAATATATATATTTTCTTGTTTGTAGCAAAATCAAAAGTAGGACACAGAAAAGAAGCCAATATTACCCACTGAATTTAAAATCCTATAAAAATGAAGAGACATATTTAGCGATTAAAGAAGAAAATATATTCATATTTCTATTATAAAAATACTTACATCTAGTAGTGTGTGAAGGTGCTGATCCTGAAAAACACTGTGTAGAAAATCTAAGTCTTTTTCACTGCAGTCTGTAAGTGCGTGAATTTCCTCCAGGCTGTCCAGCACCTGTGAGACTGCTCCTGCAGGCAAACAAGCAAAGATGCATGGTAAACTGACCTTTGGAACAGGAATCTTTCACTTCATTCATTGTGACTAACTAAACCAGGATTTTAAAAAACTAGAGGCTTTACTGAAGAACACACTGAACGAACTTCACATTATTTAAAAGTACAGAACATATCTTCATTCATTTACAAGCATCAGTTTAAGAGAGCATTATTGCTTTAAAAATGCCTTTGTATATTTTAAAATCAAGTAATAATAGGGATGGCTGTTCAAGTGTATTACCAGAATGCTCATACTGAATTTATTTCATTTTACAACCTACAGTTCATCTTGAATTTTTCTACAATTAGCTGAAAATATTTGAAAATGAGACACTTTAGCCCATTGTTTATCTAGGAAAAAATGTCTATATTTCATTCATTTATCCTCAAAATGTTCATTTATGATGCTTGCTTTTATAGTCTTATCTACCAACATAAAACATTCAATTTACAGAATGTGTAAAAAAAGTTTGAATTTTAAAAATGTATATTAAATTAAAAAGGCTTAACTTTTTTAGTAATGTTACAGTTAATTAGTTCAGCTTTTCCCCCTAAAAATATTATTGAAAAACTGGGATCACTAATATTAGAACACACAGAAGACTACTTCAAGAATTTCTGGTCTCAACGGAGAGATAGCGATGAAAGTAGTGCTACAAAAAAACCTTTTAACATATAAAGTGAAACTCAACTTCAGAGAGAATTACATTGTTAGCTTTCTGAAATAAATGGAAGATATTACTCTGTACTGTTTCCAGTACTGGCTTATCAACAATCCCTTGGATGTCTGAAAGTTCCAGAGCTCCTTACCCAGTCCAACAATACTTGCATCTCCCATCCATCCACTGGGAGGGGGGAAATAAAAGGATTTCTTCCACAACACAAATCTGCAAAGTGACTGAAATAAAACCACTCCTCTGACACCAAGTCAATGCATGTGTGTTTTAATTTATGCTGCAGCAATCAATCCACCGGGGATTGATTTAGTGGGTCTAGACTAGCTAAATCGCCTGCTGATCACTTGGAGGTTGACTCAAGAGGAGTAAGAGGAGTCTACAGGAGAGTTTCTCTCATCGATCCAGCATAGCATGGACCCCATGATAGGCAGACCTAAACTATGTCAACTTGAGTGACACTCCTACTGTAATTTAAATTCTGTAGCTTGGATCAACTCCCCTCCCCACCTCCAATATAGTCCTGCCCTGTCTATGTTGCTATGCTACTGAATATTTCTCCCTTTTCCATCTGTATGCAAAAGAGTTGAAACAATACAGTAGTACGGTCTCAGGTATAAGAAAGCTATTTTTGTATCTTCTACATTAGAGGAAATGATGGATTTACCACAAAAAGATGCTTCCACAAACATGTCTACACCTCTTTATTGTTTGGAAATTGTGTCAAAAGTCCGAGATTCAAGATCTCTCATAAGAATACTGGAAGACAAACCAGTAATATTGGTGTGAAAATAGCCTCTCTCATATTATTTCCATTTCCCCCCAAAATTAGAAAGTTGAGCGATGTATGGAATTTAGAAGAATGTAATGTTAACTCAGCTTTATCACACCCTAAAAAATAGCTGAGATTTGAGAGAATTATTGAGGAAGTCTAATAGGGTCTACAAACTCCATAATGAGCATAGACAATCTCTCCTTTACAAGCAAGCACCTTGAATCACACCCCTACGCAACAGCCAGAGCTGCCAGTCACAGAGACAGGCACCTGCAGCTGCAGCCAACAGAATAAGCAATGTCTACTATAAAGAGGGTACAGAGAAGGAAAGAGAGGTAGAAAAGTCTGGATAGCAAGATGGTGACAACCTTTTACCAGGATGCCTCCAAGAAGTTAGCCAGGAGACTGAAGGAGATTAGAGCCCCAAAAGTGAAGGGTTGATAGGCTTAATTGGAGATGAGGGTCAAGAAACTGCCGCTTCAGAGAAGCAGTGTGCAACGGGCTGGGAGAGGGCAGTGGGGTGAAGCGGAATAGGAGGTCAGGTCACTCTGGTTCCCACTGCTGCAAGTATGGAGGGAGGGGCGATCTCTGCTGCTGCCCTGCACCAGGCCCCCTGGGTAATCTCCTGGTGTGCATCGCATGAGGGGATTCAGAAAGGGGGTGGGACTTGGGAAAGGGATGGGGTGGGAGCAGAGTCACGGGTAGGCCCTGCAGTGGGGAGGTTGTCCTGAGCCCCACTCCTGGGACCTGGCCTCGTGGGCCTCTAGGGATGGGCCTGGTGAGAGCAAACTAAAGAGGGACAGTCAGGAGAAACTGAAGCCCATCGAGAGACCACCCCAAAAGGTTTGGGTAGATTTTCATTTTATCTGAACTAGTTCACTTATCCCTAGAAAGAGTTAGTTTCTTTCTCTTTACCTTATGGAAGACACCCGTATACATATTAAAACCTATTTTTATAAAGGTGATGGGGAAGGACTCAGCATATCTACCCCCAAGGCCTAACTATATTATGAAAATAAGGATTCTTATCACTCCACCAGGACAGGGTAGCGCAGATGGGTCATGAAAATACCTGAGCCCTTTTTATCAAACCATTTATTTAATGGCTTTTGGAGAAGGTTAAGATTTTGCTCCCAGAGGAGGGGTGGGCAATAATTTTTGATTGGGGGCCACTTCAGAAATTTTTCAAGTAGCAGAAGGGGTGGGGCCTCAGGCAGAAGGGGCAGGGGCCAGAACATTTCCAGGCTTCCCTATCCACAGACCCTAATTGGTCCAGAGAGCAGGGGGAATGTGAGAAGTCTTTGCCTCCCCAGAGAGAACCGTAAGCTGTTCTGAACAGCTGGCGGTTCCCTCTAGGTACCCATGCCCCTGGCAGTGGGAGGAGACTTCACATGCTACCCCTCTACCTGCAGGTCAATCAGGGCCTGGGGAGGGGGAACATGTGAAATCTCTTTCTCCTTGCCCCCACCTTGCAAGGGAGTGCTTCGCTTAGAGTCAACTGCCAGCTAAGCAGCAGCTGGTGGTTGACTAAGTGCTGAGCCCCTTGCAGGGTGGGAGGAGGTTTCATCTTCTCCCCCCTACCCCCAAAGCCCTGATTGGCCTGAGGGCAGGGGGGGAGCACACAAAGTCTCCTCCCACCCTGCCCCCATCCTGCAAGAAGCGCCACGCCCCTTGCAGGGTGGGAGGAGACTTCCTGCGCCACCCTCCCGCCCCCAGGGCTTGGGGGCAGGGGAAGTGTGCCAGGGGCACATGGTGGTTGGAAGCACCATACACTCCTAGAAGGGCAGAGGCGGGGTGGGAAGAAACTTTGCACACTTCTCCCTGCTTCCAGGCCCTAATTGGCCTGGGGGAGCAGCAGGGCATCCACGGGCCAGATCAACTTGCTTAGCAGGCTGGATCCGGACGGCGGAGGCCCTTTAACACACCCCTGTCCCAAGGTAATGAGGGGGAAAGGAACTTTTTGTAGCTGATTCATGGGGATGCTAAGTTGAGTTAATTAGATTGAATGTTTTTTAATGCTGCTGGCATATTATGCTGTTTTAAGATTTTTCCAAGTGTAGATGAAACCCATGTGTTACATCTATCCCCCACCAATAACAATGGATCTTCATTGTAGGAAAACAAATTTCTGTCATCCAAAAACTTTCTCTTGTCTGAAATTTTTCATTGAAGGGGCATATAAGCTTTTACACAAGGCAGAATAGAGTTAATGGGCAGCAAAAGGCAAATTAAAACACCTATAGCAGGAAGAAGGTCTTAAAAAAAAGCAGTTCTGCTCATTTGGAAGCATAATCACAAGAAAGTTCTTGTTCTGGCAGAAAATGCTAGCTAGCCTTTTTAATCTAGAAGGCAGAGAGTGAGCAGAGCAGACTTGCTGTACTACACAGTGCTGGAAGAGGGCACTCCGGTAAAGATATGCAGTAACACATGGTAGGGAACACATTAAGTTGATCGGTTTCTGAAATTGACTGACTTCCCACACAACTTGGATAAGAGGGAAAGAAGTAGGTAGGAGGTACCACTCTTGGTAACTGCAGCAGCAACACTCATGCTACAGTGGTAGCAGGAAAGATGGGAAAAGATGCAGATGCTGCTCCTACAACTGATGGAGAGCCTGCAGAAACAGCAAGAGGCACCATCTGTCATTCAACACCAGTGGCAGGAAGTCTAGTGGTTGCAGAAGCAGCTTTGCCAAGTTGCTCCGGGGGCTTTGGCTGGTACTGGAAAGGACAGCTTGAGCAAACTGGTGCTTCACCTGACAAAGGTGATACCAGAGCTTTAACAGGAGGACCTTTCTCTGTAATTTTGAATGAGTGGCCAGTGCAGTGGGCTGGGAAGAGCCTACCTGGGAAGCTAGCATAATGACATTTTTCAAGGATGAGAAGAAAGCAGCCTACTGCATGCTGAGTGACAAACAGGCAGGCTCCTATCCTGTGATGAAGGCTGCCTTCTTGGATAGGGTAGACTTGACAGTGGAAGCGTACCAGCTGGTTTCTGGCTTGAATCATTCCCACAGAGAGCACAACTAAGGGTACTGGCTCAAAAGTTATAGGCATAGCCATTGGGCAACTAAGTCAACCTTTAGTCAACCATTAACAAAAAAAACAAATACACACTTGGACAACTAATGCTCCAAAAGACAGAGGCAGGCCAAAACTGTCTTTCTGCTCCACCTCATAATACTTCAAAGTGGGGAAAAGTTTCTCTTGATTTAACAGTGAACCCTAATAATGTGTCACTGGGAATTGGGTCAGATGAACAGATCTTTCTTAGCGCAAGATTGTGGGATTTGCTTGCATAGTCGTTTTTGCAGAGCCTTGTCTGTTTAAGCCTTGAATAGCTAAGAATAACTTTCATGAGCAATGAAAAGAGGTCTGGGAATGTTAGCTGGTACTTTAAGGGGAGTCAGTCAGCTTTGCCTGTGACCTAGCAGTTTGCTCTGATATAGATTAATTTACAATTAGGGCACATCTAGACTACGTTTTAATTTTGAAAGAGGATATGCAAATTCAGAGGGAATTTGC